TAGAGTACAGACATCTGTTACGTAGACACAACTCAGAAAACAATGTCAGTGACAGTGCGTATAAATTATAAATGTAGTGTTACATTATTTGCTTTTTTTGGAAGGGATACCAAATATGTTAAATAGATTAACCTCTGCTGACATTTCAAAGCCACAACACTCTTCCCTGACTTTTATTTGTGATCATGTCTCAATCAAGAGAATCTGCAACACTTCATGATGCAGAACGAGAACAATTCTTAATTTCAAAATCTTCCTCAAGAGTTGCTTTAACCGTTAATGATTCTGAAGTAGTTGATGAGAATGATGACTTATTTTACGAAAGTGAACGAAGACAGGGCTTAGATTCTGTAATTACGGAAATCGGATTTGGAAAATTTCAAAAGCAACTATTGGTTTGTTTATTTATATTTCAATTTTGTGCCTTGGTATTTATAAATATATTTACATTAAGCAATTTTAAAGGTACTTTGCGGTTTCGGTTGGCTTGCTGATAACGTAAGAAGTTTTGTTTTCTTCTTGATCAGTTTCTAAACCAGGAATTTGATGATCTATATATATATATATATTATTGATTACTTAGATGTGGTTACAGGTACTTTGGACTATTATGATCTGTACAGTGAATCTTTATTAGTGAGTTATTTATTCACTTATTAATTCAAATAAAATAGAGTGTAACATTGATACTACCGAGAGTTCAAGGTTAGTTACATTAAACATTTTTATATAAAGTAAAAATGTGATGGAAATACTCGTTACCTTTTACTATGGAGTTCTCATTAGGAATGTTAAAAAACCTGTCAGATCTAAAGGGTTTTAATGAGATTGGACTCCTATCAATATTGAAAAAATCTTGAAAACAAATTACATACATTCATAATTAGTTATGAGTCAGACTCAATGTTCCATAGAGTTTAGCGAACTTTTAACAACTCTAATTCTCATATGTTTCTTTATTCTTTGCATATTCTCATTGTCGATCATGATAGTTCATTATCAGGTGCCAAATTCGATAATTGGTTTTCTATCTAGTGCTTTGACATTTGGTATGATGTTCGGTGCATTATT